TCCGCCCCTGGACATTGACGGGAGTCCGGCGTATGCTGTGAGGGATCTGCTGGACTCCAGGTTCTGTGGGGGACGGCTCCATTACCTGATGGACTGGGAGGGGTATGGTCCTGAGGAGAGGAGCTGGTTTCCAGCTGGGGACGTGCTGGACCCCAACCTAATTCGGGACTTCCACCGTCGCCGCCCTGACCGGCCTGCTCCTTGTCCTTCGGGGTCGTCTTCCAGGCCGGCGATGTCCAGCGGCAGGAGCCGCGCGTCCGGTGGGGGTACTGTCATGTCTCCTCCCGTTGCTCCCCTCCGGCGCTCTGAGCCACTGGTCTGAGCGCACCACCTCGGCAACACTGGAATGGAAACCCAATGCACCCTAATCACCTCCAGCTCACCTGCACATTATCAGCTCATCGCCACCCCTACTTATACCTGGACTGTTCCTTGGGATGTTGTGTGTGATTGTCTTCCTTCGTGTCATGTACTTATTCTTGTTTGTTCTCTTTGTCATTATTTTAGTAAACCTTGACCTTGTTAATTCCTGCGTCTGCGTCCTGCCTCTTTGTATACTCAGTACGCGTCACAGAAAATAGTTGTTTACATGCAAAATTGCCATAACTTGTCGGTCACTTAAAGGAATACTTCAGGATTTTGGCAATGAGGCCCTTATCTACTTACCCAGAGTCAGATGAATGTATGTCTCTATGTCCAGTATGAAGGAAGTTAGAGGTAGTTTTGTGAGCCAATGCTAACTAGCATTATTGCATGACTGGAAGTCTGTGGGGGTCTGCTAGCATGATACGAAGCAGAAAAAATCTGAGTAACCTTTAAGGTCTATCCCTGATGTCTACAATTACGTGCCCTTCTCTGACGGCGGTTGAACTGGTCCAGCCACCTGATCACCTCTGACTACCATTTACTGACTTACAGTAAGAGTGCAATACTGCAGGGTAATGTGTTTACACTCAAATATATCATAAAGCCGTTGGGGGGACATACGGAATTGTTTTTAAGGTCATACATACTATGGATGATTTAAAGTGCATTCGGAAAGTATTCAAACGACTTGACTTTTTCCACATTCTGTTACGTTACACCCGTATTCTAAAATTGATTAAATTGTTTTTTTCCCTCATCAATTTACACACAATACTCCATAATGACAAAGCAAAAACAGAATTGTAGAAAGCTTTGCAAATGTATTAAAATAAAAACTGAAATATCATATTTACATAAGCATTCAGACTCTTTACTCAGTACTTGTTGAAGCACCTTTGGCAGCGATTACAGCCTGGAGTCTTCTTAGGTATGACGCTACAAGCTTGGCACCACTGTATATGGGGAGTTTCTCCCAATATTCTCTGCAGATCCTCTCAAGCTCTGTCAGGATGAATGGGGAGCATCGCTGCACAGCTATTTTCAGGTCTCTCCAGAGATGTTCGATCGGGTTCAATTCCGGGCTCTGGCTGGGCCACTCAAGGACATTCATAGTCTTGTCCCGAAGCCACTCCTGCGTTGTCTTGGCTGTGTGCTTAGGGTCGTTGTCCTGTTGGAAGGTGAACTGTCGCACAGTCTGAGGTCCTGAGCGCTCTCGAGCAGGTTTTCATCAAGGATCTCTCGGTGCTTTTCTCCGTTAATCTTTCCCTCGATCCTGACTAGTCTCTAAGTCCCTGCCACTGAAAAACAACCTCAAAGCATGATGCTGCCACCACCATGCTTCACCGTAGGAATGGTGCCAGGTTTCCTCCAGACGTGACGCTTGGCATTCAGGCCAAAGAGTTCAATCTTGGTTTCATCAGACCAGAGAATCTTGTTTCTCATGGACTGCGGGTCATTTAGGTGACTTTTGGCAAACTCCAAGCTGGCTGTCATGTGCCTTTTACTGAGGAGTGGCTTTCATCTGGCCACTCTAACATAAAAGCCTGATTGGTGGAGTGCTACAGAGAGGGCTGTCCTTCTGGAAGGTTCTCCCGTCTCCACAAAGAAACTCTGGAGCTCTGTCAGAGTGACCATCGGGTTCTTGGTCACCTCCCTGACCAAGACCCTTCTCCCCTGATTGCTCAGTTTGGCCGGGCGGCCAACTATAGTAAGAGTCTTGGTAGTTCCAGACTTCTTCCATTTAAGAATAATGGAGACCACTGTGTTCTTGGGGACCTTCAATGCTGCAGAAATGTTTTGGTACCCTTCCCCAGATCTGTGCCTCGACACAATCCTGTCTCTGCGCTCTAAGGACAATTCCTTCGACCTCATGGCTTGGTTTTTGCTCTGACATGCACTGTCAACTGTGGGACCTTATATAGACAGGTGTGTGCCTTTCCAAATCATGTCCAATCAATTGAATTTACCACAAGTGGACTCCAGTCAAGTTGTAGAAACATCTCAAGGATGATCAATGTAAACAGGATGCACCTGAGCTCAATTTGAGTCTCATAGCAAAGGGTCTGAAGACATGTAAATAAGGTATTTCTGTTTTACATTTTTTATACATAAAAAAAAATGTTAACTAAAAAATGTTTTCGCTTTGTCTTTATGGGGTATTGTGTGTAGATTGCTGAAGATGTATTTAATCCATTTTAGAATAATGCTGTAATGTAACAAAATGTGGAAAAAGGGACAATTTTTTTTCGGGATGTCTCCTGGTCTGACAGACGTGGAAGGATATCTCTAGCTTAAACTGATGGATTTTGATGGGGATTTTTTAAATGTTACTTAGATTGACGCACCGGTGTGTCACTAGACGCTAGGGGGTTAATATCTAAAATAAATAGTTGAAGTGTATGATCTCTTTGTGATTGAATATTGACAAGAAGATGAAATAAAGGGCTTTTTCTTGATGTAAGAATGAGGCGTGAGAGTCGTTGAGGAGAGTGATACTGTATGACGTGTTTTCTCACTACAAAACAACACAGGTCTAGAATGGCACAAGGAAGTAGCCTGGAACTAATCATTGGAGCCAACTGTTTCTCATCATTCACTGGCGTCGGTCCAGACACTCCAGATCCTAATACCGTTTTGTATTAAAATAAAATAGACACCCCATGTGATTTATTTGGGATGAACATAACAAACTAAAAGAATAAGCCTACCTATGTAATAGAGCCAACAGACACTAATATAAAGTTAACTTCCTCAAGAATATTGAGAGTTATGACATCTCTAGTTGCTCTCCATCTCATTGTAAAAAAATAAAACCTATCAATTGTAAAAACAGGAGAGGAAGAAGCAGGTTTTTAGGAGTCACACAACAGTTTCAATTGTTGAAGATGTTTGACGATAACACTGAGGAAACCAAGATCATTTGGAATCTGCCAGTAATTGCTCCATTAATAGACGGTCAGATGTGCCATTAGTAGATGTTACTCTTCTTGGCACATCTTAAGCAATTTTCCTCAGGAGAGGAAGCAGGTGTACCATTAATAAGCCTACACCTGTCATGTCATGCTGAATAAAGATGAATGACTCATGACTTATGTTTAATATGGTTCCTCACTACACAAACAAGTGCTCTATGGCATGAAGAAGTATATTAGACTTTGTCATTGAAGTAAGTACACACTACTCTTATCCAAGTAAGTACGTACACATCGGTGCCAACAGTTGCTGCAAAGTAGATTTCCAATGAATCCACTGGATAGCACAGTAGACTTCCGGCAGAACCTCAAAGAATATTAGAGCTTCTATATTGAAGAGCCTTAAGATGTATGACATCCTTGTCCAGTGTTCTGCTTCTAATTATGCAAACCAACCAGAAACATGACAAGGAGAACAGCCACGGCAACAGCAGGGTTTTTATTATAAATGACAATAAACAAACAAAACATTTGAGAAAAAGATAACCCACACTTCAGTGGTTTGTTGTGGGAGATGAGTCGGCAGGCAAGATCTACACAGAATGTTTTCATTGATACCTTCACATTGACTAATTCATGGATAAACCTATGTCTTGTAAGAGTAAGTGGTTTGACCTGAAAGGAATGCCACAGTGATAGATTAATTATTAATGACTAATTATTACACCCTGAAACTGTGTATAATGTGTTAGAAATGTGTGAGTGTAGGACCAGTAAAGGCTATGGCATTGAGCTACTATTTAGCAATGTGAGTAAGAGTTAGGCCAGACAACAAAGACAACTGAGAAACTAAGATAAAGAGGCCTCCCAATTTAGGGAGGGGAGAAACTGTTATGAAAACATGGTGCAGAATATTGTGAGAACGGTAATAACTGAGTAAAGCAGGGAGTAGGATATGTGTGTGTGTGTGTGTGTGTATGTATGTGTGTATGCATGTGTGTATATGTGTGTGTGTGTGTGTGAACTGAAGGTCAGTAGAGCAGTTTTAGAGTGGAAAACTACAGCCCACCTACAGAGGGGAGGGATTTCTTTTTGTATGACGTATGAGTATAAAAGATGGACTCTGAAATTGTGATGGCAGAATTCTCAATGAATAAATATCTCTGACTATGCAGACCGGGACTCTGGCCGTTACTTAAATCCCAAAAGACTTACAACCTTTTGGGAGACGCACAGAGACACTAAAATAGTTTGTTAAATAATTCACATAACACACAGGTACACTTAACTTCAAACCATTTATAGAGACAGATATATTGAAGCTAGTTTACACCGCATCTCAAATCACAGTTGCATAACACTTTTCTTTTTACCTTATTCCACTTTTTCTTCCTCGTCTACCCTTCCTCTTCCAAGGACCCTATTCTATTAATCTCCTCCTTCCTCCCTGGGTCATATTCGTGGCGGCAGGTAGCTTAGTGGTTAAGAGCGTTGTGCCAGTAACCGAAAGGTTGCTGGTTCTAATCCCCAAGCCGACTAGGTGAAAAATCTGTCGATGTGCCCTTGAGCAAGGCACTTAACCCTAATTGCTCCTGTAAGTCGCTCTGGATAAGAGCATCTGCTAAATGAATAAAAATATAAATATTCATAAGGGATGGAAACAGGGACTTGGACTTCGTTTTCCATTTTAAAACGCATGCCCTAATGAAACACGAGTCCGTTTCACTCGGTGAGATAGAAGTGCATCTTGTCGTTGACGTTCTTCCTCTCAGGGTTGAGGATCTGGGCCAGGACGTTGACCATCTGCTCGCTGCTCAGGCCCGTCCTCTTGGTCTGGAACTTCTTCAGCAGGTCCTTGGAGGTCATGGGCTTCCGAATCAGGTAGCGGCGCACCGCCTCCTCTGTCAGCTGAACGTCACTGTGGAGAGGGAGGGGAAGATGGAGAGGGGTAGAACAAAGCAGGGGGAGGGTAGGTTGTGGAAGGGGGGAGGGAATGAGGCAAGAAGAGTAGGGGAGAGAAATAGAGGGTGATAGAGAGTGGGAACATGAGAAAATAAGAGAGGAGGGGAGAGAAGAGGAAGAAAGAAAGAGTGTGTGTGGGAGAGGAGAGTAGGGGACAGATAAAAGAGGAAGAGGAGAGAGAGACAAAGAGAGAGAACGAGTGTGTGTGTGTGTGAGCTAGAGAGAAGGTAAGGGTGAAAGAAAAGAAAACAAACAGGAGAGATTGAAGAGGAGGAATATACCTGGAGCTGGGAGTTGATTTGCCTGAGGGGGGCTGTGGAGTGCTCTTCCCTGAGGGGGCAGGACTCTGGGTGGTGATAGCCGTGCTACTGGACTCCATCTTCAGCCTCTTGGCAGCTGGAGACTCAGAGCTACCACCCACCACCTGTCTCCTACCTGTGAGGAGGGAGGGAGGGGGGAGGCAGAGCGCACGATGACGGAGACAGTGTTAACAACCCTTTATTGTTAAATCAAGAAGAGTTAGCATACAGTGCTGAGGTCAAACATAGCCTTAAGGTAAGACAAACAAAACAAGACTTTCAGATCCTGTGAATGTTAATATACATGTAAATATTACAAATATAAATATCTATTTCCGATATGTGAAAATGTGTGTGAGTGCGTGTGTACCTTGCTCCAGTTTGCTAGCGGCGGCTCGGAGTGTGTTGGAGGTGGAGGCGGAGTCTATGGAAGGTGTTCCGGGGAGACTGCCAGTCCTGGAGCTGCCTCCAGAGCCACGCCCACCACCACGCTTAGGAGGAGTACGCTTCTTCTGAGAGGGGGGAGAGCGAGCAAGAGAGCGAGGAAATTGGGAATGGCGGGAAAACAGAAAATGTCAAGAGCGGAAGTCAAGAGCAAAGTCCACGAGAGCCACTCTCAACCTCTCAAGATCCAGACCAAGAGACACCCAGTGTTTAGAGACCATTACCACACCAAGACCAGTTGAAATGTGGAAAACAAAGATCGAGAGCCAGACCAACACCAACCACATCAAAGTGTTCAAAAGGCATATGTTTGTGCCCACACTGCTGCCACACTAGAGAAGCAAGATACCCTGGAAATTGTGTGTTGTGTCACCCCTTTTGTGCCACATAAAAACAACAAAATATGGCATCAGGTTAATCAACTACCAAACCCAGGGTCTTGTTAAAGACTTTTAGAAAAGACCCAGACCAAGATCTTGGGCACCATGACCCAGATCAAGAACACGAGATCAAGACTCCATCTCTGCGAGAAAGAGAGAGAGAGTGGGGTCGACATTGAACAGTGGCACTACAAAAGGGACCACACACAAACTGTAACACACACTTACTTTCTCTCATACACACACACTCACCACCATGAAGAGAGCTGAGGCTGCCTCTCCATCGATGTCGCTGTCCTCTGAAGTGTCCGACTCACCACTGCTGTCTGAAACGCACACACAACATTGTTATCACAACATAGCCTTCAACAAAAACACACAGTATATTTCCATGGGTTCAAGTCTTGCCACTTCCCTGTGAAACCTGATCAGTAAAGATTCAATAAAGATTCTAAAGAAGAAGAATGAACTGCTACCTCTCTTCTTCTTCGTCTGGACCGGGGTCTTCTTCCTTTCCTCTTCCTCCTCCTCCTCTTTCCCCTCTTCCTCGTTCTGTTTCTCCTCCTCGCTCTCTTCCTCACTCTCCGATGCCTCGTCGATTCCTGTGAACAGAGTTAGAGTTCTTAGAATTCACACACATGCACACGTTGTATTGTTGCCATGGGGGTGCCTTCTCTTCGCCGGCCTCTTCCTCTGAACTGCAGGAACAAGGGAGTAAGGAGCAAGAGAGCGAGGAAGGGATGAAGGATAGAAACAAATAAATGAGAGGTTACAAAATGGTTACAATTGTTGGGGGGGAGGGGGGGTATGGGATGGACCACGGGAATTATTTGCTAGGATAATAATTGCTTGTCAATGAATTAAATGTAATTCAATGGCAATCCTGGTTATATGTTAGAATCCTACGCGTGAACTGCCGACATTATTACGCATATTAATTGATAATGATGGAAAATAGGATATGCATAATTTTTTTTAAATAGCTATATAGATATATATATAGAGAGGTGAAAGCATTGAAAATGCTTTTGGCGGTTAATCTGCTTCTGTTTTGTGGGTGGCACTGTGTGCTGTTTTTGATGGATGGGTCCTGGCCTCTCGGGGCCTTAGGGATCCGGAGGGACGTGGGTGGGATGCTGATCACTGGGATGACGGCTCAACTTGGGATGGGGAGGGGCTTTAGCGGGGGAATTAGTGGAGAACAATTGAAGGGTTACTCCGTAGCAATGCAAATATCACGGTACAGCTATATGGACACTCAATCATTATGGTATTTGTTATTGGTAAATTTACAAACATATATATTGATAAATAGACTTGAAACTTGTATCTCATTATGGTGTATGGTGAAATAAGTATAGCCAGTTATAATTGTAATGGCTTAGCTGATAACAACAAAAGAAGAACAATATTTACATGGCTCAAAGAGAAGGAATATAATATCTATTGTATACAGGAAACTCATTCAACAATTCGAGATGAAGTAGCGTGGAAAAAAGAATGGGGGAGGGGGGAATATACTTCTCCCATGGGCAAAGAAATTCAAAAGAGGTGATGATATTAATTAATAGTAATTTCGATCCGAATGTGCAAATTGTCAAAGTAGATACGCAAGGTAGATGGATTATGTTAAATATGTTATTGCACCATAAACAGATATGGCTCATTAACCTTTATGGAACAAATAATGATGATCCACAATTCACAATGGAAATTTAATCAAAGCCTATTGGATGATAATTTATTTATAATTAGAACAAAGGAATTTATAACTGACTTTTTCCAACATAACATAGGTACAGCGAATCCCCTTATTGTATGGGACACCTTTAAATGTGCCTTTAGAGGCCATGCAATTCAGTACTCATCTCGAAAACAAAAGCAATTTAGGTCAAAAGAGTTTATACTAAGAAAGGAAATAGAAAGTCTAACAGAACAGATAGATGTCAATAAAAACTGTAACATAGAGACTCTGGAAAAACAAAAAGAAATGGAGAAACTTATTCAAGAAAGATCAAGTGTAATATATTATAAAAATAAAGCAAACTGGATGGAATATGGGGAAAAATGCACAAAATTATTTTTTAATCTTCAACATAGGAATGCTACCAAAAAGAACTGGTTACAATTGACAGAGTCACCCATAATTCACCAAATGATATTTTGAAGGAAGAAACAAAGTACTTTAAGCATATGTTTTCTTTTCAGTCGCCTCCATCTCCTCTAACTGAAGCTAATTGTAGAGATTTTTTTTCTATTGATAATGTCAAATTAACAGCCACACAGAAAGACTCATGTGAAGGTGAAATTACAGAGGAGGAACTTCTGGATGCAATTAAAGACTTTAAGTCTGGGAAAACTCCAGGGTTGGATGGCATACCAGTCGAGGTATACCAAACCTTTTTTGATATACTAAGAGGACCGTTATTAGCATGTTTTAACCACTCCTATGTAAATGGTAGATTATCTGACACTCAAGAAGAAGGTCTGATCTCATTATTACTGAAACAGGATACAAGTGGAAAATATAAAGATCCAGTCCATTTACAAAATTGGAGGCCCCTTACACTTCAGTGTTGTGATGCAAAAATCCTAGCAAAATGTATAGCGCATAGAATTTAAAAGGTATTGTCAGATATTATTCATTCTAATCAGACAGGTTTTTTACATGGAAGATACATTGGAGATAATATAAGGCAAGTATTGTAAACAATGGAACACTATGGAAAATATGGGAAACCAGGCCTGCTATTCATAGCAGACTTCGAAAAGGCATTTGATAAAGTTCGACTGGGGTTTATACAGTGGGGGAAAAAAGTATTTAGTCAACCACCAATTGTGCAAGTTCTCCTACTTAAAAAGATGAGAGAGGCCTGTAATTTCCATCATAGGTACACGTCAACTATGACAGACAAAATGAGGAAAAAAATCCAGAAAATCACATTGTAGGACTTTTAATAAATTTATTTGCAAATTATGGTGGAAAATAAGTATTTGGTCAATAACAAAAGTTTCTCAATACTTTACAATATGTTATATACCCTTTGTTGGCAATGACACAGGTCAAACGTTTTCTGTAAGTCTTCACAAGGTTTTCACACACTGTTGCTGGTATTTTGGCCCATTCCTCCATGCAGATCTCCTCTAGAGCAGTGATGTTTTGGGGCTGTCGCTGGACAACACTGACTTTCAACTCCCTCCAAAGATTTTCTATGGGGTTGAGATCTCGAGACTGGCTAGGCCATTCCAGGACCTTGAAATGCTTCTTACTAAGCCACTCCTTCGTTGCCCGGGCGGTGTGTTTGGGATCATTGTCATGCTGAAAGACCCAGCCACGTTTCATCTTCAATGCCCTTGCTGATGGAAGGAGGTTTTCACTCAAAATCTCACGATACATGGCCCCATTCACTCGGATCAGTCGTCCTGGTCCCTTTGCAGAAAAACAGCCCCAAAGCATGATGTTTCCACCCCCATGCTTCACAGTAGGTATGGTGTTCTTTGGATGCAACTCAGCATTCTTTGTCCTCCAAACACGACGAGTTGAGTTTTTACCAAAAAGTTCTATTTTGGTTTCATCTGACCATATGACATTCTCCCAATCCTCTTCTGGATCATCCAAATGCACTCTAGCAAACTTCAGACGGGCCTGGACATGTACTGGCTTAAGCAGGGGGACACGTCTGGCACTGCAGGATTTGAGTCCCTGGCGGCGTAGTGTGTTACTGATGGTAGGCTTTGTTACTTTGGTCCCAGCTCTCTGCAGGTCATTCACTAGGTCCCCCCGTGTGGTTCTGGGATTTTTGCTCACCGTTCTTGTGATCATTTTGACCCCACAGGGTGAGATCTTGCGTGGAGCCCCAGATCGAGGGAGATTATCAGTGGTCTTGTATGTCTTCCATTTCCTAATAATTGCTCCCACAGTTGATTTCTTCAAACCAAGCTGCTTACCTATTGCAGATTCAGTCTTCCCAGCCTGGTGCAGGTCTACAATTTTGTTTCTGGTGTCCTTTGACAGCTCTTTGTTCTTGGCCATAGTGGAGTTTGGAGTGTGACTGTTTGAGGTTGTGGACAGGTGTCTTTTATACTGATAACAAGTTCAAACAGGTGCCATTAATACAGGTAACGAGTGGAGGACAGAGGAGCCTCTTAAAGAAGAAGTTACAGGTCTGTGAGAGCCAGAAATCTTGCTTGTTTGTAGGTGACCAAATACTTATTTTCCACCATAATTTGATAATAAATTCATTAAAAATCCAATTTTTTTTCTCAATTTGTGTACCTATGATGAAAATTACAGGCCTCTCTCATCTTTTTAAGTGGGAGAACTTGCACAATTGGTGGCTGACTAAATACTTTTTTCCCCCACTGTATATATAAAAAACATGGGGGATTGGAAGTGATGCAGACAATTACATTGATAGAAGATACAATCTATCTGCAATATTAAGCTGATCCACCCCCCCCCCCCCCAAAAAAAAATAAGAATAAAAAATAAAAAATAAAATAAAAATAAAATGAGAGGTTGCAGGAAGTGTTTGTGTGTATGGCTCTACAAGTGTCAGCTGTGGTGTGGTAGCATTACAAACCTGCCTGGAAAACGCCCTCCATTCACCTTTTATGGTACAAAAACACCCTAATTTGCTGTATGATTTGGAGATGTTGAAACTGGGCCATGTAAGTTTCTAAAAGATAATGCAATGACAAATTAGATCACATTTATATAAAGATGTGGGCAGAATGTTTTTGTCTTTTGCAGTGACTTTTTCAAACAAAAAATGCATGCCGCTTATAGCAAGTGCCAAACACTGGAGTGCATTTTGCAATTTTGATTTTCGTTTACTATGTTACGTCTACCCCCGAGTCCAGGTTGAATATTTTGTTCATCAATAGATGATTGTGTTTCTATCTGCTGCGTTGGTATAGGCTCTGAATTTAAATAGGCTATGATGTTGTGCTCCTACTGCACTGCAATAGGCCAACTGTAGCCTATGCTGTCAAATATTTTAAATAGGCTACCTGTCTAGCTATTTACTTTTGAGGAAGTTTGGCTATTGACCCTCCCATTGTCCTGGTATTCTGTACACATGCCGTGCCCTCCGGGTCGAACTGTCCCCCTCTCACTAAAGGCCCAATTGGAACATGTGGGACAGTATGCGTGCAAACAGCCTTTGCAGATGTATTTGTTACACCTGGTGCACACAGTGTGTGTTTTACAGTCCTTCTTTGTGGGGCAGACCTGACACCTCTTCCTCTTACTGGGTTGTCCGGGGTCGGGTGCTTGGGCCGGTGCATGGGCCGGTGCGGCGGGGGCATGATCCCGGGGCTGATCACGATACGTAGCCCTCTAAACAGCTTTGACGAGCGCCGCAGAGGCTTCGGTGCGAGGGAGACGGGCCCTTCTTTGTATGAACGGAGTCACTAGTGCCTTTCCCAGCTGCTCGAGGAACACCCTCCTCTTGTTTCGCTTACCAGGCATCCAAGTAGGGTTGAGCTCTTGCCATATGACAAAAGCGTTGTAGGAGGACACGTCAAGGATGTTGTGGAAGATGACCAGGGGCCAGCGGGCGGTCATCCTCCTGCAGCTGTAGGTTCCAATCACCTTGTCTAGGTTGTCCACACCTCCCTTGTTGCTGTTGTAGTCTAGGACGATTACATTTTTACATTTGAGTCATTTAGCAGACGCTCTTATCCAGAGCGACTTACAGTTAGTGAATACATCTTTTTTTTTTTATACTGGCCCCCCGTGGGAATCAAACCCACAACCCTGGCGTTGCAAACGCCATGCTCTATCAACTGAGCTACATCCCTGCCGGCCATTCCCTCCCCTACCCTGGACGACGCTGGGCCAATTGTGCACCGCCCATGAGTCTCCCGGTCACGGCCGGCTGCGACAGAGCCTGGATTCGAACCAGGATCTCTAGTGGCACAGTTAACACTGCGATGCAGTGCCTTAGACCACTGCGCCACTCAGGAGACGATGGCCGGCTTCTTGTCCTGGCGATGGCTAACGTGAGCCTCCTTGTGCAGCGTGCTCAGGAGTAAGACATTCTTGTTTTTCTTTGGCAGGTAGGACACTAGAGCGGTGGTGGGCGTGAAGGAGCCTGTCCTTTGAGGCGAGCAGCGCCGGCGGGAGCTCTGGCTTGTTCTTTCTGACTGTGCCGACCACGGTGACGTTCCTCCTCAGGAGCTGGTGCGCGAGCTCGTATGAGGTGAAGAAATTGTTGCAGGTGACGTTGTGATCCCTGAGTCCCTGCGTCAAATCGAGCACGACCCTCATCCCCTGGTTCTTCTCGGGGCCTCCGCAGGTGGCCATCTTCCAGGCGTAGCTGGATTTGGAGTCGCAGGCCACCCAGGTCTTGATGCCGTATTTGGCCGGCTTGCTTGGAATATACTGGCAGAAAGGACATCGGCCTGGAGGAGAGAGAGAGAGAGAGAGAGAGAGAGAGAGAGAGGAGAGAGAGAGAGGAGAGAGAGAGAGGAGAGGAGAGGAAGGAAAGAGAAGAGATTAGCTTTAGCGTGTTGTGTTGTGTACGGTGTTGTTGTGCTCTTGTACGGTGTTGTTGGCCCGGAGCGGCAGCCTCTCGACCCACTTGTCCCAGACCTCTCTCAAGGCCGCAAGTTTGTCACCGCCGCCTGTTGCGCGTCTCTCGGCTCTGGTCTGGCGGTCGTCGAAGCGAAGGAGTCTCGAGTAAGCGTGAAAGACTTTGAGCGACATGGTTGCACGGAAAATGGTCCTCCCGCTCACGGCGTCCCAGAGACTAGAGGCTGCTTCGCCTCGGGACCTGTACACGCCGGCTAGGATGAGCAGCCCTACGTAGGCACGCAGGTCGGTGGAGTCCATCGCTTTCCAGCGGCCGTGGCGGTCGTGGTCGTGGTCTTCGTGGTCGTCGGTGTAGTGGCGGTGGTCGTCATCGCCGCAGCCGTTGCCATCGCCTCAGGCTCCGTATTTTCGAACGCCCTCCAGATTGGTCATCTCCAGGATGATGTCTTCTATCTCCGGTGTGAAAAACAGGCGGAACGTGGAGAGGATGTCGCGGGCTTGGCCTACGTCCTGCCTAGTAGGCCCGGGCCTCATGTCCTCCGGCACCTCAGCAACCGGCCTGTTACTTTTTGCCGCTGCGGCGGCCCCTCTGACGTCCCGATGGTTGTCACAGGGCATCAAGCACCATTGGATTTGGCCGTTTCTCGACACGAATGTCTCTCTTTCCACTCGAGGGATATCGTGTTGTGGTCGGGGGCTGAGGCGGCGGCGGCGGCGGTCTCCTGGCTCTCCTTCACCTTCACCTTCTCCTTGTTCTTCTTCTCCTTCTTCTTCTTCTTGGTCGTCGTCATCATCATCGTCGTTGTCGTCGTCGTCATCGTCTCGTTCGTCTTCTACGCCTTGGCCTTCTTCTACTTGGGCGTCGTCCTTGTCGTTGTCGTCGGCGGTGGCGGCGTCGTAGTCGTCGTCGTGCTCGGGGGTCTCCTCGTCCTCTGGGTTGTATTCCTCCCCGTCTTCTTCTTCGGACGCTTCCTCCTCCGCTTCCTCTTTCGCTTCCTCGTCGCAGTCAGAGTCATTGGAAAATATATGTTCTAGGACCTGTTTGGCCGTGAAACGCACAGCACTCATAATAGCTTCGGCACCCAGGCTGGGGAAGTCCCCAAGACCTCTCTTCGGGACGTGTCCGGACATGCCACCGAGGCAATATTAGTAGTAGTAGTAGTAGTAGTAGTAGTAGTAGTAGTAGTAGTAGTTGTAGTAGTAGTAGTAGTTGTAGTTGTTCTTGGTGTTGGTGTTTGTTTACGGCTTACCTACTACCTCTGGCTCAGAGCTTATGCCTCTAACGCGTAGCCTGGGTCGTTTTGACCCCGGCCAGGACAGGACAGGACAACGCTAGGGGTTATACAGCCACTCGCTCTAACACTCTAACACGTAGCCTGGGTCTTTTTGACCCGGACAGGACAGCGGGAGGGGATATACAGCCACTCGCTCAAACACGTAGGCTCTGACACGTAGCCTGGGCCGTTTTGACCCCGGCCAGGACAGGACAGGACAACGCTAGGGGTTATACAGCCACTCGCTCTAACACTCTGACACGTAGCCTGGGTCTTTTTGACCCGGACAGGACAGGACAACGCTAGGGGTTATACAGCCACTGGCTCTAACACTTTAACACGTAGCCTGGGCCGTTTTGACACCAGCCAGGACAGGACAACGCTAGGGGTTATACAGCCACTCGCTCTAACACTCTAACACGTAGCCTGGGTCTTTTTGACCAGGACAGGACAGCGGGAGGGGATATACAGCCACTCGCTCTAACACGTAGGCTCTGAAACGTAGCCTGGGCTGTTTTGACCCCGGCCAGGACAGGACAACGCTGGGGGTTATACAGCCACTCGCTCTAACACTCTGACACGTAGCCTGGGTCTTTTTGACCCGGACAGGACAGGACAACGCTAGGGGTTATACAGCCACTCGCTCTAACACGTAGGCTCTGACACGTAGCCTGGGTCTTTTTGACCCGGACAGGACAGCGGGAGGGGATATACAGCCACTCGCTCTAGCACGTAGGCTCTGACACGTAGCCTGGGCCGTTTTGACCCCAGCCAGGACAGGACAACGCTAGGGGTTATACAACCACTCGCTCTAACACTCTGACACGTAGCCTGGGTCTTTTTGACCCCGGCCAGGACAGGACAACGCTAGGGGTTATACAACCACTCGCTCTAACACGTAGCCTGGGTCATTTTGACCCGGACAGGACAACAGGAGGGTTAAATGAGTGATGGATAAATGATAGGCTAATATTTGTTGTGTAGTGGGAATAAGTCAGTCATGTCAGAAAAGGAGAGACATCGTGCAATATGATTATGATTTAGGCCTATATAAAACGAGTAAAATAAGCACATAAGGCTACATGCTGCCTTGCGATCTACTTACCAACGGCAAATGCATCTGTTTTATCATTAGGCCTACATTATAATGTTTTTATTAGACTACTATTATTATAATTCATCTGCATCAAAAAAACGTCAATTTCCCTCAAAATAACAATATTTTCTTGCAATACAATTGATCAACCACTAGAAGTTGTGCATACACATGGTCTGAGAGTGTGTGGACTATGGAGATAGTCATAGTTTCCTGTCAAGTTCATAATTGATAAATACCAACTTTTGCGGGAAAACTGGCTCACACAAGAGCTGAGTTCAGTACGTTTTTACGTTCTGGAACATTCAATTAAACGGAAACGGTGCTGTACTGAACGACCAGTTGAAAAACGGGGATGGGTTGAGTAGTGGATTGGGGAACGCTGTCAGCATGGCCACTGCCCTTTAAATAGGTCACTCATTGTTTCAAGCCACACCTCGCCACACCCACCAAACGGGAGCAAAAGTACCTCAAAGTCTGTTCAAGAACATACCAGAAAGGATGTTTTGGGGAAACGTGTCGTTCAGTACAAACCGTTCCGCAACATAGAAAACGTTCAAGTGAACTGAATGCACCTTAGGTTTAGAGTCGTTTTGTGTGCATGCACCTTTGATAAATGAGGCCCCTGGATTGGGAAACGCTCATCTAACTCAATTTGTATTGCAATTATTGGAAATTCAGAATAAGGAAGGGAATACTATAGTATTTACATACATTTTAAGAAGCAAATAAACAAAAACATTATAGAATAGTCTACTAATGAAGACTCAGAGAATTGACATAAGTGGGCTTTACATAGTATTTTTGCTTTGGCCTCACTCATCACTCAAATTAACCACCCTAACCCCCTGAAAGCATGTTGAGAGAGTACTGTAGATAATGGTTGAGAGATGGTTGAGAATGTGTTTATAAATAAAACCAGGTTTGCACAAAGACAGCTGCGATTCACCTTCTCAAAACGTACTCACAAGAACACGGGGAGTTGAAAAACGTGTTTTTGTTCTTGGTTTCTTTATTTTCCATTTGTCTTGTCAAGGCTCTGTATTTACATAGAGATCATCAGATGCAACAGAGCATGCCCAGCTTTACAAGACAAATTGACAGCACAGGCAAAACAGTGAGTAATGACGCACTCTTCTACTTCTTTCCAGGTTCTACTTCTTCTTTCTGTCTTCGTTCTCCATCAGCATGGTTTTATCCCTTTTTTTGTGTGACCAACTTTTTAATTAGTTTGTAATTTTTTCAGAAGGGAGTTACAGGTACTGGTATAACATTCAAAATCATATTAATTCAGATATATTCATACATTCAGTTATAGTATTTGCATTTCATATTTCATACTTTCCTGTACCTGTGGCCAGCCACTCAACAGAAGAACAATAACAAGTAAAATGCATACAAA